AGACGAACTAGTCTGCCGATACGAGGCACCAGACAGGGGAGTAAAATGAATGGTATGCACTCTCAGCAGGCCTTAAAATTAAAGTGAGACATTGTTGGGCCAACCTGGTATGTCGTATTTGGGAAATAACGGCCTCACACATGTACTTTTTTGCTCAGAGAGCACTATTTGTTAAGGCCTCAGGTTTGGATTGCTGTATACTATTCGAAGGATGCCTCAAATCCTGTGTGAAAGCCATTGCCTGTAATCCTGCTAATCCTCTCAGGTGTGGTGTTACTCACAGGAAAGTAGCTTATTGGTGATGGGGAATCAAGGCCAGGGCATCTATTAAACAACCACCAGGGGACAGAGTAGATTTAAACCATTTAAAACTGTGCACCTTTTTGTACTTTATACTGCTTTTGCATTGGTATGTGTTACCTTAGTCTTATAAGGGAAGTAGAAGGTCAATGATTAGATACAGAAGATCCCATCTGGAAGTATGCCCTTGGCACTTCTTAGTTCCTCTGAGAACTTGGGCACTGTTGGAAATCTAAGAAGCAAGACCGAGAGTCTTGGATGTATCTTTAGCAGGATTCTTTATTGAGAACATGCTGTTGGTATCTGCAGTCATCAAGTCTAACCAAGCGGCGACATTCTAATCGGAAAAATGAAGCCTACCCGGAAGTGCGAAAAACTGCAATACATCGAAAATCCGCTTGAGGCCGGTCACAAAAGGGAGCAAATGTCCATATACCCCATGTTAAAATGTCCGTTTTCACAGCATAAATTCATGTTTTTACAGTTTGATCCCATGGACTTTTATTGTAATCTTCAGTATGCCTGACAACTGTGTGGGGGGTGATTTTTTTTCTAACTCGTTAGTTTAGATCGTATTTAGATGTAAAATATATGACAAATAAGGGCGGTTAACTTTGATTGACAGCTGACAACCAGACTGATCTCATGAAGTAGAGTGTGTATGACACGCCAATTCGTATTTCCATTTTTGGCGTGCTATCAAGACGCATTATCGCCTTTCAGCGTTTTTATGAATGCCGTTGACTTAACATTATATATAAATATATGACTTACCTCAACCCCGTCCCTAAACCTAACCGTCACTGGGGTTAATGGCATTTATGACTGTTCCCTTAATATCCTAGATAAAAAAAAGATATGACTTACCTCAACCCCATCCCTAAACTTAACCGTCACTGGGGTTAATGGCATTTATGACTGGAGATTTGACTGCGTGTTCAGACACGCGGAATGACGCGGACGTTAATGGCGTAGACCTATACGAATACACGCGGATAGCTCAAAATGCGTAGAGATAACACGCCACCTGACTCGAAAGTGGCTTATATGTTTACGCAAAAGTCATGATGTCGTGTTGTGACAACGGGCTGCGCCGAGTGGAATTTGACGTCTCGGCCATGATCTGACAACACATCATACCACATTTGTATTTACTGTACTGAACATTTGTATTTTGTATTTCCCAAGATTTTCCCCCATAAACAGCCTCAAACGCGTTCTTCAGAAAGTCTATGGGTGACGTAACAGACGCTTTGTCCAATAATACATTGTAGTTTATGTACATGTTAGAGGGCAGTGCTTTGAACTGGAGACAAAGCACCTGGAAGCAGTCCTAATCCAATCAACATAACTATACAAAGAAAGATCCACACCTAGTGGTTTGCATTCAACTCAGGTATATATATATATGAACAATGGTCACCAATCCAAAGAATGTTGCACCAAGAACCGTTAAAGACAAAAAAAAAAGGTGATAGTCTCATTAGCCTGGTTAATTTGACTTGCAATGAAAGGGATAGGACTGGCAGAGATATTTTGACTATCAAATAAACTATGCGTGTAGAGAAAAATGTGTACTCCCATAGCACTTAATCTCCATTTACTCTGGGCTCAGATTTCCTCAATTTTTGGATATTTAAATTAAGACAAAGATATGCAAAAAAAAAAGTACTAGGTTGGACACTGGCTGTACAACATGACATCATGACTTTTGCGTAAACATACACACCACTTTCAAGTCAAGTGGTGTGTTATCTATACGCATTTTGAGCTATCCGCATGTATGCGTGTATGTCTACGCCGTTAAATGTCCGAGTGAAACGAAGCAAAATGTAGATCTACATCTGGGGAGCGATATTTTTTTTTCCTAGGATGGTTGGGGAAGACTCATAAACGGTATTAACCCCAGTGACGGGTAGGTTTAGGGACGGGGTTGGGGTAGGTCATATATTTATATACAGTAATGTAATGTTAAAGTCCCACTCCGATCATATTTTTAAACATTCCTAGTGGTCTTTAAATTATGATATTGCTATTTTTAGCCAAAATCACAAAACCTGTGCTGTTTTCTGGGACTTCACTTCAGCAGAGCGGCAGTAGCTCATTAGCAATTCGCCTCTGGGTTGTGGGCGGAGCCGTTGGCACGGAGACAACCCTCCCCCTTCCCGTTGCTGAGAGCTCTGTCTCTCCCGCTAGCTTACACTTATAAATTATAAGCAACTCAAATGTTGTTTTTATTTATTAGTTGTTGGGTCTTAAGTTCAGGCTATTGCTGTCTGATTCTGTTAGTTCACCTGAACTCCTGATCCGAGACATTCTTTCCTTTGCACCTTCATTTTTATCAGGTTTGTTCTCAATGATGAGAATGATGTTTGAATGATGTAATCAGGGATACTGACTCTATTAGATCTTTCACAGTGCTTTATAGGAGTGACCAGGTCGCGGGCGCTAAAGTGTTATTTTGTCAGGAACTGCTCTTCTCAATTCTCTTTATTGGAGGAAATTTCCTTGCAGACTCATGGGCAATGTAGTTTTTAACCAGGAATTGATAATGCAGACATTGTCTATTATAATCATGTAGTTGCGCATTATATTTGGGATCATTACACAAACATACACAAGTTTGTTTATTCTGCCTCTCTCATAAAGAAAGGATCATTTATGAAAATGTTATTTGTTGTCACGTGTAGTGTGTGGCCGGTTTAGAATGTATTTGATCGGCTCACTGCAGACATGCTGTGATGTTTTTCATACTGTGCACAGGAGTGAAAAATGCCATAATTTGTGGTCATGAAGAGTTAAACATCTGACAGATGGTTAGAATGGTTAGAGAGTCAGACTAGTAACCCAAAGGGTGTGGGTTCGATTCTCAATACCGGCAGGATATTACTGAGGTGATCAAGGCACCTAACCCCGTAATCGTTCCCAGTGCACCACAGCAAAATGACTGTCCACTGTTCCCAGGGTGTGAGTTCATGGTTTGCAGTGTGCTCGCTGCTTCTAGTGTGTGTGCACTAACTTGGATAGGTTAAATGCAGAGGACAAATGAGTATGGGTTACCACCATACTTGGCCTTCAAGTCATTTCGCAAAATGTTGCCCATGGTTGGAGTGGCCATGTGGCTCTATGCTAGGAAGTCATTGAGGAAGTCTTCGCTGAATAGAAGTTTAGTCGACTAATCAAATGGCCCTCATTAAACTTGATTAAATGAACATGGTTTCTAAAATGAATAAATGTGAAAACAGTGCGTTATTGAATTACAACAATAAGGATATTTGAGTTCACATCATTTTCGCCATTTTCATTTGTGTAGGCTTAAAGCATCTAGAAATGGTTCTTGTGTTTGTTAGTGCTAAATCATTTTCATATGTCACATGAGCTGGATGTGTGTTTGCATGTAACGTGCTGTCAATTACATTGCTGCAGCAACCTTTCATGCCTGTGCGCTTTGACCACAAGAACATCTGCATCCTTTCTGAAACTCATGTTAGAGACAGAGTGGGAGAAACCCGCAGCGTTAAACAGACACACATGACGGGTCTATGTGAAATGCATGTTAGAAAACTTGTATCTACTTATGGACAGCTTGCTTATGCAACATATGCTTAATCCACACTTATTTAATTTATAAAAGTAGCTTTATGTGCATACATCTTTAAAATCACACAGACAGACAGAAAGGTTGATTAAAGCAGTTTATTGATGAGGGTGTCATTACACTGATGAGTCCATCAAAACAACAAACTGTGCTGTTCATAGCTACCATCATTATGTACTCAAAAGTACACTCAATGATGTATAGAGATACTACAGCACACTACGGAAGCAGACATGCACATGAATTAGCTAATGCTAATTGTCCAAATCTATGTTCTGCTATCATCTTAAAGACTCATGTTAACTGAAAGTTATTTTTCCCTTTTTTTATTGCAGTGCAGTGAAAATAATGACTAACAATCACAATCTATGATGCACAAACCTACGGAGTTGTGCAGAAATAAAATATCATTCTCTAAGTCTAGATTACAGCAACATTTCAGGCAAAAATTACTGTCATCATTTACTTACCCTCATGTTGTTGTCAAGCTGTCAAACTGTCAAGCTCCAAAACCAACAAACCAAGCATCAAAAGAGTAATTCCGTTGTTTACTTAAAATCTTGCTTGACCCCTATGGTCACCATTCACTTTTACTGTGTGGAAAAGAGCAGCTTAGACATGTTGGAACACAGAGGAATACACACCCAAGTTTAAGTCTGAAGGGTTTTTTGTGGGGTGAACTATCCCTTTAAGAGCATGATGATAGCACCAATACAAACATGACCACATCACTTCGGCATATGTGTTAAATTAACTCTTAGACTCGAACACCACACGTTGTCATACTTTATGCATATGTCTCTGTGTCAGCGAAACAATGTTTGCATGCTCAGGTCATCAAGCAGATGCTGTGTGATGCAGATCCATGCAAAGGCAACAAAATCTTTTGATTCAGTGTAATCATGTACAGCATGACTTTGGTTGACCTGGATAACCGTATAATGTAATAGCAGATAACAGTGATTTCATCCAGACCACAAGCATTCAAACAACATAATGGAATAAGCATCACTTAAGTTGCTGGTTTTATGACCATTCAGTCATCTTCTGATTGCATACGGAATAAATAAATAAAAAAAAAATGTATTTTGAGGCAACATGGTCATGGTTTGGTCATCTTTTTATTCTGGTGAGTGCTTTAGCTGATGACTCTTGATGTTTAATTTTTCACAAGAATGTCATATCATTGTCACATTCCAAGATGATCATAGGGGATCCGACATATGATTTCTCACCTACAGTAACAGTAATAGCTGAAACGGCACCATTCTGAGATTATAAATTAGCTCTGAGCCTAAAATCAGGGTTATGACTCTGAGCTTGGTTTTGTTGCGTTTGTTGGAGTACAAACCACTGTGTTAGATCAGCATAGATCAGCCTGAAAGGGAAGACTGGGCCCATGTTTTGTAATAAGACTCCATTGGTGGCAATCACTGATTATGGCAGCAGGTTTTTTTTTTTTACAGACATGGAAATGAGGAAGCGTATGCTCCGCATATGACAGGTTTAGCAAAGCTGAGTCTGGCCTGTGTGAAATTAGCATTGCCCTTGGTTTTCTATCGCACCAGAATACTCTTCATTAATCCCAGCCAAGAAGTAGGAGGTGCCGACCAGATGGGTATTTTTACATTGCTTCAGTTATATACAGCTTTCTGCATTTATCACTTTGACACTAATTTGCCTGAGGCCATCTGTGATGTGTCGTTCCTATTTTCTGGTGCTCTTGGTGAATAAATAAATGACACCGTCTATGAAATCAAAATAAAGCATTTACTAAATGATCAAATATACTGGCAATGAATCCATTTTTAGGACACATTTAAATGATGTTATTTACAGCCAAAAAAAAAAATGCACCCAGAAGTATTGTGGAATTTTAAAATATTTAATATTTAAAAAGGTACAACTTTGCAGATTGACCTTTGATGCTACATACAGTTATTTTGCAGATCATCAACAATGACATACAATGGCCAAACAGAGTGCATGGCTGAATCAAAGCAGATCCACATTGGGCTGATGTTTTTAGTCCTGAGTCCGTTTAATTGACTGCTGGTGTTTGGTACGGTATTGGTTCAGTGTATGACCTGATATTGTTCAAGAGTGTATGGAGACAGATTTGATTGGAATACGTCTTAATGCAAAGACTCGTTCCTGTGTGATAACTTCAGGTGTGGTAAGCCATTTCACAATTTCAGTAGTGCAGAAACCGCTAAAATAGTGAATATATCGCTTTCCTGAAATAACTTCCCTGATGATTGAAGGCCTTAACCTTTTGTTTGACCTATTCACAAATCCTTATTTATGACACATGCAAACTTGAGTTTGTTTTTTTGTTTTTTCGTAATACAAATGATATTTTTGTATTTTAAAAGTAATTCCATCCAGCCTCACATGTAAAGAAACTGGTTTCTAGTAGCTTGCGTTATCACTACAGTTTCTACAATTTTGAGCATTTAAAATGCCAACGTTTCGATTTTAAAGCACTAAATCTTTCTGCTCTATACATATATGTTGACGTAATGTTTTTTACACATTGAAAATCCTCTCATGTTTGTGTTTTATGAATGAAGGCATCGTATCAAAGTCGTGCCCATCTTTCCTATCGGTCCTCTTGTGTTTAACTCCATTTCCCTTTTTAGTACCTGAATTATATGTATAGTTTGACCACCGAATGTGGCATCGATCTAATATCCACTTGATAAAACTAAGATTTTTGCAAACTATCATGTTCTAGAAAAAATACTGGTTGTACAGAACTAGTTCAGTCAACTCTTTCCTACAATAAGGAAACAAATCAAGATGGAGGCTGTTTATGCCTCTGTGGTCAGTGTGACAAAAGTAGTCATTATGCAGTCCAAACAGTGAGGTTAAACCAAGAGCAAACACACATCCAGGTCCCTTTCCTTTTGTGTTCCTTCACTTTGCACAGCATGCTGCTGCATCTTCACAGGACGTCGGGAATCGACGAGGATTAACGGTTTATGTAAGATACGAACTGCAGGGTTTGTTGTCCTTTCTCTGACAACTATTGGTGGGAGGTAAATAATGCCGGTCTCCCGGTCACCAACTGAGCTGAAATTAGTAAGTGCATTTGGGTGAAAGAAAAGAGGACGGATCCTGTTTTGAGAAATCGGGGCATTCTGTCACTTCGGTTGGCTTCTGATGGTTTCTCCGGGAGAGAAAAAGACGCTCGCAAGCACACACAGATCATCACAGATGAATTACCTACGGGAGGCACTAGGACCTAGACAAACGATCCCTGAGAGAGTCAATGGGGGCCAGCTGGCAGACACAGATTTCTAGCCCTGATCGGGGCAGCTGTAGCCAGACTGCAGACATGACATGCATTTCAGTGAACCGGTGCAGAACCCCCCCTCCCATACCCCTCCCCACCCCGGCAGACGCTCGGTACGCACAGAGTCCGACCCCTGCATAAAAGCTGCTGCCTGCATGGACAGATGCACAGTTCCCTGAAAGAACCAATCCCAACCCCCAAACCCTAACCTTATCCCCCTTTTGTCCATAGTCCAAACAGTTCAGGCACACATTGACGCACACACACACAAACACCTGCACGCAGGGCCGATGCAGAGCTGCCTTTAAATCACATGTGTGTCTTTATGTCTGTGGCAATGGCAAGGTGATGAAAGTGCTATTACCTAATTAACGGATAGGATATGAATTATGTGTCTGCAGTGTTTTCTTCCGCAAGGTTACTGATGCTTTACTGTAAGTGCTGCATGTTTTAATAAATGGTTTCAGTCATCATTTCCTTTTCATAATTTCTATCCCGGTCTTTTAGAATATTGATGTAGTAATACTGTCAGTGGACCTTTATATTTGTGCACATTGAAACGTCTGGTGGAAATGGTTTTTGAACTAATAATGATTAAGAGTTTTCATTATGAGCTGTTTTTAAAGGGCTTGTTCAGCCAAAAATGAAATTTGTCACCATTTACTTACCTTTTTGTATACGTGGAACACAAAATAAGATATTTTGAAGAATGTTACAGTGTTTTTTTTTTCTAAACACAATGAAAGTCAATGGTGTCCAGTGTTGGTCTCCATTGACTATGGATGTATGAACAAAAACAATTGGCACATTCTTCAAAATATCTTCTTTTGTGTTTCGTAAAGTCATAGTCATATAGGGGAGTAAATGGTGACAACAATTTTGGGTGAATTGTCCCTTTGCTCAGATACTTGGAGACACTAGCTTTTAGTTGAAACCGTTTATCGACGCAGCTGGTAAAACGTAGTCCTCTGTCTCTAAAAAATACACCAAGCTTCCTCTGAAGTGTTGAACAAGATCTAAATGTCTTACTGTTAAACAGCTCTGCAAAGCCCTGTGTGTCTGTTAGCTAAACCAACACGATGTGAAATGCTTGGAAAGTAAAGCAATAGCACTTACGGGATTCATTGAGAAAAATAAACACATGGAAAAAGGAATTGTCCAAGTACAATATGGACAAAATATTTTTCGAATTGGCAGCTATGCAGTCATGATCACATTACAAAGGGCTCAACTTCAGTAGGTGAACACTAGGTCTGAGATACTGGGCACAAGCAAGTCCCCAGAAATCATTTCATTCACCTCTGGAGTGCAGTAATCTGGGAAGTCAAAATGGGATCCTGAGTTGGCATTAAATGCTTCAAAATCCTTGTCCAGAGCAGAACAGTCCATGGGCATACTATTCGAGATGATATGCAAGAGTTCCTCGTCCAGTTCCTCATCTGAACAGGCTGATGACACCAAAGAGGAGGAGCTGGTTGAGGTCGGTGTGGAGGATCTTGCAGATGTCGACCCTTGTGGCTCGCTCATCGTGGAATCCGGGGGAGCCTGGCACTCGCTGTCTGAGGAGAGACTCTGGATGCTGCTGGTTTGGGAGATGGGCACTTTCACTCTGAGCTCAGGAACTGGTTGCTGGTCCTCAGAGGCCTGCTGGTGAAGAACAAAGTGGCTTGACGGGTTGTGATCGTCTTGCAGAGTCACTGGACTTTCTAAGTTTACATCCATCGTGTCGTCATCACTCATGCTCTCGCTGTAGCTCTTGTGTTTATTGCCGTTATGCTTGGTAGAAGCAGGTTTGATCTTTAGCCCTTTGCAGGAGAGCCCACTAGATCTTCCTGAATGGGGCTTGCTGGATTTCATAGGCAACTTCTCGCTAAGTTTCACAGGGGTAGAGCACTTGCTCTTTTTCCTGGGCCGGTACTTGTAGTCAGGATAGTCAGCCATGTGCTTTAGGCGCAATCTTTCGGCCTCTTTGATGAAGGGTATCTTCTCATAATCGGGCAGTAGTTTCCAGCGTTTTCCGAGGCGCTTTGAAATCTCGGCATTGTGCATGTCAGGCCACTGTTCCATGATCTTCCGTCTCTCAATCTGGGACCAGACCATAAAAGCGTTCATTGGTCTTTTGATGTGCCCAGTTGGAGTTTTGCACCAGTTGGGATCTTTGTTAGAAGGTACTTCTCCGAACACCTCAGCATCGTCTTCTGCGGCCAGTCCCACAAACACCTCTCTGGTAGAATTGCTGTCCATGACTGACAAGTATTTGTGGGTTCTTTGCTGAACCATGATGCAGCGCTGAGATCTATTCAGTAGGTTCCCTAGAGTCATCCATGACAGGACACTCTAAGATGCAGCAACTCCTCAATTCCTGCTTTTATCCTGAAATAAATACAGACGTGTCTTCAGTGACCTCTTAGAAACTTCATTTGTTAAATACAAACACTGTTTTAAAAATGGAGCGTTTTTGTAGTATTTGTTGATAACGACATACATATTTAAATGTCATTTGAATCAGTTACATGTGTGTGTGTGTGTTATTAAAATATATAGCAAATTAAATGTCTGCGTGTGTTTATGTATACATATATATCCCAACTCTCTCTATATATATACAGTATATACATAAACACACTCAGACATTTAATTTACTTAACTATATTTTTAATACACACACATGTATATATATACATATATATATAAACACACACATACAAACAATAATTTTTTAATATAAATAAAATGTAGTACTTACTATAGAAATGAATAGCACTTCTGCTTGCTATGCACAATCACTTGCTCTCCTCACAGAAGCATCTCCTCTGTTGTAGCAGTTGTGGTGGAAGTAAAAAAAAATATGTCTCCAGCGTCTGCCTGCTGTTTTATCACTCTGTCCTGCGGACCCTCTCTCTCTCTCTCTCAGACGCTCTCTCTCCTCTCAGTCACTCTCCCTATCCTTGTCTGCCGTTTCTCCTCCCTGCTCCCTCTTTGTAGGGACACTCCCCCTCGTCTGCTGTTTTATAAACCCACACTGTAAACAGCTCAACCATACCAGACACAGTCTCCTCCCCTTCCACCCACCGCTCTCTGTCGTGGTGCGTGTGTTTGTGTGCATGTGGGTGTGTGAGTGTCAAGGATGGGGGGGGTGAAAGTTTCCATCCAGCGAGGCACAGCTATACAGTGCAGCGGATGGAAAGAGAGAGAAAGAGATGCTAACTGAAGAGGTGTTAAATGCTACAAGCAAAAACTTAAATAGGACAAGACCTTCAAGGCAGTCTGGCACATGTAGAGTCATATATTCATGAGTCTGTGTGATGTATTTCTCCATTTTCATAATTGGAAGTAGCACACTTGCAGGCATGCCTTCAGTGTTGCCATTAGTATGTGTATTTTAGCTATCTGACACAATCCATGCACTTTTTTGTTTAAATGAACATCAAGATTTTAGGTTCATGTATGTATAAGTGAAAGTTCTCATTTTAAATTGTCTCCACCTTTTTACGTTTTATTTTTTTGCCGATTAACATTATATATTATATTATAACATTTATATAGACCTCATTTAACTGCAGAGCCATCTTTGATTTTTAACGGGAATGAAAGCAAGGCTGTGTGGGATGGACATACATCTCTTCAGTGGGTTGCACTGTTATTTAATGTTTTTTGGATTGTTCTGCTGGAAAAAAAACACTGCAAAAATGCCTTTCCAAGAAATTTCAATAGACAGAAAACATGAGCTGCGAAAAAGTATAAGTGATCTAGAAGTTTTATACATCTTTTTACAGTGGATGCCATTAAAAGTAAGTCTATCCCTCACAGTGCAGCACATGACTTTATGGGCGATAGAAATATCTAAAACAAATAAATTGTCACTCTAAAAGCCACAAGCACAGCAACAATTTAAAATAAAAATGTTTTACAGGTGCAAGTATAGGCTTAGGCTTCCCCTGCCTTCTGATTGCTTTTAAAGGGAAAAGCTGCCCATAACTGCTGGTCTAGGATCAGTTTTCTACGTAATTATAGAATATTGGCGAAACAGAATCCAGCCAGAATATTTGTTCAGTGCTGAGTTTTGCATGCTCATAACTGGCATATTGAGAGATTCAATGTGTAGTCAGCTTCATTGATTATAACAGAACTTTGTGAGATCGGAATAAACTAAAATGAGTGACAGCTTTTTTGTGATTAGAAAGGGAGTAGTATTAGCCTATTTTTGCTTTTCTGTTACTATTCATTTGCAGCGGGCACTGTCTTTTTCTAGTGGCTTCATACATCAATTTCTCTGTAAAGTAAAAGTTAATAAAGGATCATGGGAATTCAGAACATTTAATAACTGCCTTCAGAATCTTAAAACAAGAAGATTTGAAAGCATATGTGACTGTCCTGGTATGACATCATTACATCTTTTCACAAAATTGATGATTAGAATGAGCTATCATCATCTGAACAGAACGATACAGCCACTAATGCTTCAGTGAAATATGTCGGCCGATCCATATGGCCAGCGTCACTGCATCAATAAGCCGTTGCGTCAATACATGCTGAAATGGCCCAAAACAGTTAATTAAAGCAGACTGTCACTAAAGTGCCAATAATGGTAATATACATTAGTAATCCATGAAGGGCGGTCGTCAGAGCCCGAGGGCCGAAATGCAAGCTTGCATTTCTCTGGTTATTTCCATATAATGGGCAACTGTCCAAAATCTTGTCTGCCAAATTATATATTTCCATATAGTCATGCATCAGTCGACTCATGTAATTCTTATATAGGTGTACGAGCCAGGTTTTTTCGTTCTCATCTTATTCTCAGAATCAGCAAAAAAAAAATAAAATAAATCTAATCCAATCACAGATATGTTTGCACGGCCTATTCATAGTGAACATCAGTCCATTGAGACCTCTTAACAGTGTCAATATGTCCTCCAGCACTTAACGTAATGATCTTGACCATGTCACTGTGTGTCAGAGATATTCGTTTGACAAATAAAACTGATATTAGCCCGAGCGGTTGGGAGGGGGGGGTGTTAAAAGAAAAAAGACAACAACACTATCACCCACCGACCTAGTTCAAGGCCCTGGCCAAATCCCTGGCCAGACCTAGACACCTCATCTAATTATGGAACGGGCAGAAAGGGGAGGATTGGACCCCCTGAGCGGGATGGGTGTCTGTCTGGCTGATAAGGATGGGGCCTCCTCCTCTTCCGTAACCGTCCTGACAGAGATAGATCATCTTTCAGGGATTAGTGGGCAGAGGGAGGAGGGCACCGCTTGATCTCACTGCTGCTCCAGTTTCTGAAAAAGAGGGAGCAGTGATGCCACCGCAATGCTGAATGAACCTGGGGGACGCATGCTGGAGCACCTCATAACACTCTTTTGCATTTTTTGGTTTTTAAAGTGGCTTGTAATATGTTTCCTAAAGAATTTTGCAATTTTGTACTACTCTGGACCTCTGGATGTTGCAACATTATATCATTAGTTTGATTTGGACATTTTTCTAGTATTATCAAACAATATGTAATCTAGACAATTTTTTTAATCCCTTTTCCGCCACAGTTTTTTTTTTTTAAATGGAACGTTCAAAAGAACAGAATTTATCTTTTTTTTTTTTTAACAATTTAAAAGTAATTTATTCAGTCATTTCTCACTTTTTTCAATCAATATGATGAATCCCAGCTAAATAGTTTCAGTTACACGTCAGTTACAGGTTTCCTTGTTACAGTGTAATTAAACATTTAAAGGTGTAGTTCACTTTTAAAAAAAACTTTTGCTGATAATTTACTCACCCCCCATGTCATCCAAGATGTCCACGTCTTTCTTTCTTCAGTCGAAAAGAAATTAAGGTTTTTGATGAAAACATTCCAGGATTTTCTCCGTATAATGCACTTCATTGGGAACCAAACGGTTCAGGGTCCAAATGAGAGTTTCAGTGCAGCTTCAAAGGGCTTTAAACGACACCAGACGATGAATAAGGGTCTTCTCTTGGACCCTTCGAGTCATGACTCGAAAAAAGATTTGTTCATTTTGATGAACGAGTTTGAACAGGAGAGTCACGAACGCTCATCACAGAACAGAGCAAGGCGGGCATTTGTGCTTATAAAACTTAAACTTTACTATTTATTTTTTAAATGACCGATCGTTTCATTAGATAAGACCCTTATTCATTGTCTGGTGTCTTTTAAAGCCCTTTGTAGCTGCACTGAAACTCTCATTTGGACCTTGAACCGTTTGGTTCCCATAAAAAAAACTTAATTTCTTTTCGACTGAAGAAAGAAAGACATGGACATCTTGGATGACATGGGGGTGAGTGAATTATCAGCAAAAGTTTAAAAAAAGTGAACTACTCCTTTAAGTATTGAGTAATATTAATTATATTGCTGTAATTGTAAATGTAATTAACAACATGTACTTACTATAGGGTTGGAGTGTGGTTAGGGTTAGGTTCATGTAATAATGCATCATTTACTGTTATTACTACAGTAAGTAAAGGTTGTTTTCTTTTAAAAGTATCATTATTTTTGGATAATGATATATACATTAAATATATGCTCTTCATCACATTTTCACTCAACCTCTTGTTTTTATTATTTGTTTGTTATTGTTTTTATACATCTGTAATGAAAACTAATCTGTAATAGATTTTACTACAACCTTTGGTTGTTTATATTTCAACAATGAATTTATCTAGAAACATAATTATAGTATATAATTAAAAGCTATATAAAAACTGCCTTATGATCAATTTAAATGTTTGCAGTATGCAACTTCTTGTGTTGGTCCTAGTAAACGGGTTCTCCATTGTACAGCTGTGCTTGTGTATTTGTTGCTCTTGTTGTATGTGGACATCTGCAGTGGACATGCTGTGGTGCTCATGTGAAGTGCAAAGGCTGGATATGAAACTGAAATGAAAAGGCTTTTTAGAGTAACTCAATAGTTGAACACTATTGACACATCCTCCATGGTCAGTGGTGGTTCTGCAGCGGGGTTTAAGTGTGTGTTTGTCTGTTTGTTTTTTCGGCTTGAGAGATTACACATCACATCCTTGCTTGCACTGGCTGACACAAGTCAGAGATTTTAGCCCGTCTCACCCCCTCCTCCTTTTCCTGTGCTGGAAACCTTTGGCCTTTTTCAGACAGAAGCAAGAGAAATGAACGTGAACTCCTAATCTCCCAGTCTACAACCCCTGACCCGCTTGAGACTTCTCCCCTGCCCCCCTCAGCCATCCGTTTCTGAGAATAGAAACTCAGTCTGAACTCGAACATAGATGACAGATTAATGCAGAGTGTATAAATCTAATCTCCCCAGAGGAGAAAAGATGAATATTCCTGATTGCCCTAAAACCCAAATCAAATCAAACTGTTATATCATACAAACACACTCATACATCACTTCCTCATCTAGTTTTGGCTGTTTTGTTGTATAGAGTCTATTTAAACAGTCATAATCTGTGATGCATTCAGACAATTCTTTAGTCTTGTTTCTTTCTAAGCTGCTTTGATAACTAGAAAAAGGCTGTTGTGGATGCAATTCCATTAAGGAGCAACTATGTTTTGTAACATCACCAGATGGTGAATATAAACATCAATCGACAGCTTGTAGCTTTGGAAACTCAATAAGACGTTCCATCGACACTACAGGGATGGAGATGTTCAGCGCAATTCTGCTTATATTATAAGAACCAGTCTACCATCTGAAAGTGGAGGGTCAACAGGGAGATCCTCGCTTTACTAATGCTCCCCCTGTTCTGTCCAATCACAGGCCAGGATTCTGAGGGTCAAGCCTCTCCCGAGGGGTCAGTGACTAAGTGGGGCGATAGAATGAGATAAATAAAGGGGATCCGGACTGTGTGCAGTGGTATTGACAGGCCAGGACCTTAAAAGGTTGCATCTGAGCACTTTAGAGGATCACGTCTCCCACATGAACTCTCAACCATCGTAGGCCACTCTTGCTGTTTCCTTATTCATAATAGAGAGGGTCTAATAGTATTGTAAAACTGTTTAGCCCCTTTC